TTTATGCAGGTTGTGTTGCTAGCCGAGATATATAATGGATCCGTGCGAAGCCGGGGCGGGTCACTAGTTATTTGATAAAACGCGAATCCATAAAACAGATAGTAAGTGATAACCTATTATCACAAAAAACTGTTTACAGTGTATAAATAGACATATTTACACCCAGCTAACAATCTTCAGCCGATGCAATATGGCGGTGCAAATTCAATAGATTCTCATTAAGGAATTCCATCCCGCTGGAAATACCTTCAGGGCGCTCGGTTTATGAGGCATTCCACGAGGACACCTCATTTTATTAAACGTCCCGGTTTTGCATGGATATTGTCATATTGGGAATCTAATAATAGTAAAAAAGTTGAAAAAATTGCATAAATTTTAATGGTTGATATATTGGGTATATGTCAACTGGATATATTGCAGCGAAAATGCAAAAAACTACTAGTTTGTAATATGTCCAATAACAATTTGTTTCTATCGGGGAGCCATATAAGCACAATATTTAATTTTTACGCAATTACTAATTACTACTGATGGACGCATTAACACGACTTTGCTATTAAATATCATCAGGCGTTATTGAGAGGCACTGATTAACATAATATATTTATTTATCTTCCTTAGTCAAATTTATAAGTAGTGTTAAGTACTCTCAATCAAGTATGTTAATGTATTTTATTAATATAATTAATTGAAAAAATATAGTAATAAATAAGTAACATATCTTAATATAATATTATAAACGCGAAAATTTCTGAGTATGGATATTTGTTACACTTTCACGCAAAAACTACTGAACAGATTTTGTTCAAACTTTTCACTAATAAAGCTTATACATCAGAATAATACATAAGATATTTATGATATTTATCAACGTTGTGGTATAAAAAAGTTAAATCATCTTGTAAAATACGCCCTATTATATAACAATCACGTAGGTACACTCACAGTGTACAGGTAAAAGATTTTTTTACATTGGTAAAATGGTTATTTTTGGGTTTATCCTTTCACAAATCAAAATTTTAGTCTATATAATATTATATATAGATTATTATATATATACATTACGTAGTATAAATGTTGCTGTTGCAATGCTGTTCCCGTCTACGCTAGAGGGAGGTGAACTCTAATCAGGTACCACTGGAAAAGGATAGAAATAAAAATCATATACAGCCAATTAGACCTCTTCAAAAACTATGGTTACCAGCGCCACCATGTGGAGGTCGACCTGACTGTTATCGCTATCAATGAGGCCATTAATCCCATTAAAAACAATTCGCTCCCTTCTCTCTTTACAACATTATTGTAGACGTGCGATAGTTGGCATTTAGCCCAAAAATCTCGGGATATTGTTTGGGAACTTGCGAAGTGCGTATCTATATGTACATACTTAGGTAATACCTAGTTCTCGATCAGTATCACTATTAGATTCTACGATAATCTTCACATTTCTGAAGATAACGCACAGAGATAATCAGATATAAAGTAATAAACCGGTAAATCGAGAGTCACCCCCGCTTCACGAGGGTTCCGGACATATAATGTAAGTTTATATTTTGCCGCTTATGTTATAGTAGTATTGAAATAGAAATAGAAATAATTTATATTCTAATAAACTTAATATAAGCTTTTGAATAGTCATGAATTTCCTGTGGATGGCGTGCCGTGTAATGATATAGTGTAGTCATAGCACATTGTGGAATCACCTTCCAGCAATGGTATTTGCGAACGGGTACAGTAGATTTCAACCTTCAAGAAAAGAGCTTATTCCTTTTTAAAAGGCCGGCAACGCATTTGCAATTCCCTTGGTATTGCGGGTGGTTATGGGCGGCGGTAATCGCTTACTATCAGGTGAGCCGCAAGCTTGTTAATCCCCGTAATAAAAATACAGTTCGTTGTATATTCGGTAGAACACACAAAGCTATGAGAAGCCTCAGACAAGTGGTTCGATACTGCCTGATAGAGAGAGATACATCTGTTATTATAAACTTTCGCGTTTATGTTATTAATAGGATAGGATTGAAGGACCGCTCGTTGTTTTTATGGATATTAGTATTATATATGGATATTATATAGTAGTGCAATCGCCAGTCTTACCGGTATACACTGGCGGGGCACCAGTGGAGGATGAGGTCAGGTAAGTTAGTCTATCGCAACGAATTTATTATTAATTAATGAAACCATGATGGTTTAATGCAGAACAGATAAAAATATTTTTTGAACAAGACAAACTATAATAAACTGTCTTTAAAAAAAAAAGTCAGTCTTGCCAGTTCTTCTCAATTGTAACTGTATACTGACCTGGACGATAGGGAAAAAATAATATTAAAAAAAAACTTAACATTCATAAGCGGCTAAAATGTCCTACATGAATAAATTATTTTTGTCCTTTATTTTGCTTTTGACATAACTAAATTATAAATTTGACATAACTAAACTAAATTATATATCTAAATGCGCGAACTATAGTATGTATGGGTGCTTTTCTTTTGAAAATATAACATTTTATTCCAATTTTTATTTTAAAGTTTAAAAATATATGCACATTGATTAACATAACACAACATTACGATTAGAGTAAAGTAACAAATGATTTGATAATGGAATCCGGAATGCTGTCTTCTATGAATTGTGTGTAAGCACTACAGACTGCTGACGATGCGTCTCGCAAAGCCGGATGGATACATAATCCGATCGATTCCCTGTCCAATTCAAACATCGATCGAAATTACGACGCTCTTCTCGAAGGTTTTTTTTGATGGAATGATTCACCCGTCTGCACTAACGGTTTACGCTGGCGACGCACCAGTGGAGGATGATGAGATGAAATAAGGTCAGGTCAGTTAGCCCATCATGACAAATTCACCAGGAATTTGTCATGGTGGTTTCCAGGGGATACCGCATGAAGGTCAACCTGACATGGTACATTGTTAGCGATAACATCATCTATCCACATTACTAAGAATCCTTTAATATTACTTCCCCCTCTGAGTATAGCCATGTCCTCAGACTAAAGTCATATCGGTCATACAATTGGCCTTTAGTCGCTTCATAAGTCCTTCCGCAGGTTTGGAGTGCTCGCTGCAGTCGCCCCTGTCGTTCGATAAGGCTATAAAGGCCAGTTGCGACCAACTGCATTATAACAATTCGTAGAACACGTAATATATGCTCGATCCTGTTAAAGAACAACACATTTTGTGAAAGATTTCGTTCTATTTTCTCCAGTCATTTTTTCTTTTTATATTTGGTCATTTTATTCATAAATAACTGACTTGGCTATATACTGCCAATATTATTTAGAGTCATTTTGCCGTATTTTGATATTGGTATCAACACAGATAACATAGTATCAATAAGAACTATCCTATCTTTTAAAATAGTCCATACATAGAGACGAATATAATAAATATTGGCTATATAATTTCGGAGATAATTTTGGACAAACATTGCGATTCAAGTTTTACATCTATTTATAACACTTTAATCGCTAATATATATGAAGTATAAATAAATTACTCGTAATAATCTAAATATTTACATAGTACAAAACTGAAATGCTTCCGCTGCAGAAGACAGCTTACCATCAGTCGGCTTGTTTACCATTCAAATTATATAAAAAAAATTGCCTTTGTTCCAGTAATCAACATGTCTGACGAGTCGCCGCAACAAGAGGAGGGTCGCTGCTCCTCCAGCGAGAGCGACAACTTCGAGAAGGTGGAATCTGAAGACATCCAAAACGGAGATCAAGTTAGTTATACAGTTTAGAATAGAATAGAATTTTGTAATTATTTATATAAATCTATTCAAAAGAGCAACACACAAGTTTCTTCTTGTGATATTCTTGTGAATGCATTCCGAATGAGTGGTAGAATAAAAAATATAACTATTCAAATGTAAAGCACATTAAGCTTATTTGCATATAAACTTAATATAATTACTTTTGAATACTGTTTTATTCTAGCACTCATTCAGAAAGCAGACTCATCTCAAGAAGAATCAGTAGAATTTTACGATTTGTACTTTTGAATAAATGTTGTTTTAAGTAAATACACATTAAGAAGTAGGAGCAAGCGATAATCAACATAAAACCGCTATGCACTCATTCTTTTTTTAATAATAATCTCAGGACAATTCACACAGCGCCATCTAGTCCCAAGTTAAGCTAGCTAAAGGTTGTGTTATGGGTACTAGATTACTGATATAACATAGATACATATTAAACATAGAATAGACCCATATACAAAGAATCATACTCGTGAATGTTTGTGCCGTGCGAGGAATCAAACCTGCAGTAAGGCGATGTGCTAAATCGCTAGACCACCGAGGCCGTCAAGTTTTAAAGTAGGCTCCTTAATTAAATCTCATGCAATCTACTCGTACTCGCTGTACTGGCCACTATTTTTTTTTAAATAAGAAAATATTTCATATAAAAGTTTCCTTTTCTAACTTTTAACAGTTTTATAACTGAATCCATAGTAAGGCTGTTCGTGTAGATGATAATAAATATAAATAACGATTACCCCATATTATGAGGTGGTTCATCAACTCGTTTGCTATTCCATTTATGTTTCTGATCTTCGAAAATAAAAATTTTATATATCTATCGATTAATCTATATTTTTGTTATCATGCTCAAGCTCATTTGTATAGAACTGACGGTAGATTTGACATATTATAAGAGTCTGTAATAAACCTACATGAATAAAGATATTTTTATTCCTTCTTAAAACGTCGGAAATGCACTTGCAATTCCCCTGGTGTTGCGGATGCTCATGGGCGGCGGTAAACACTTACCATCAGGTGAGCCGCAAGCTCGTTTATCCCCTGTACCTACTATAAAAAAAATGGGTTTGAATTGTTTAAAATACAGCCTCATTCTTTCTCTCCGTCTCTTTACATTTCGTTAAGAAGGATGTACGTTTTATAGGTGAACTTTCTTGTTGGGGATGAAGCGGAACCGGATGCTGAGAACGACCGGGATGAAGGACCAGCGCACGAGGGTAGAGACACGTTCCCGAACGCCCCGCCGCCCAACATCCGCCGCGTGTTGACTCCCGCCCAACAATTGGCTCTAGCTGAGAAGAGGAGCAAGCTACGGTAAGTAAAACTTACAAACTTTATCTATACTGATATTCTAATCAAATCAGTGATTTGGTTTGATTAAAAAATCGTTTATTAACTTAAGATTTCTGTATTCATATTTTCCTCTACCGCCCAGTTCTGTATACAGGTTCAATTCGGAAGAATAGGAAAAAAAATAACTGATTTTTTTTCAAAAGCTATTTTATTTGTATTGTGTGCTTATACAGGTGTTCATTCATCTCTCTTGTCGGTGGAGCTCTTGCCACTTTCCGCGATCTTCCATCATGCTCTTTAATTCTTGATACGACACGACTCCCATTTTGACCTCAATTTTTTTATGTAGCTATTCCTTGGTCTTCCCCTCCCCCTCTTTCCTTCTATTTTCCCCTCAATAATAATTTTCATGAAATCATCGTGCCGTATCAAGTGCCCTAACATTTTTCCTCGTCTATTTTCTATGGTGTTCAATATTTGTCTTTTTTCTTTTACCCTGTGTAGTGGAGTAAAGTAAATGGAGCACGAATACAGGTGTCTATGGCTAAAATTACGTTTGTCATTTAAGTAATCGTTTAGTGAGTGAATAAATTTTGCTCAGCAAATATGATTTAACTGATGTTTTAAATTTATTTAAAGATAATTCCAGTATATATTTTGGTATCATTTGTAACGTTTACTTCGTAAACAAAGGAGGTAACTGGCTTGATGATTTGTATGGAATGCATGATAGATTTTTGTCACATAGGTACAAACCTACGGAAATGTAGTTTACCATAAAAGTACTTAAGCATTTTTCTCACAGTTTTCGAATGATATATTTGAAATACAATTCTGAAAGTAAAAAAAATCTATTATTAAAAGTGGTGATATATATAGTTAAAACTCTCAAAAGTCGGATAAAGGTGTTACTATTTATTTCAATTTAGTGCTTATGAGATATTTTACTAAACATGTTTGTTTACCATTTCTGTAAGTTCTATTGGAACGGCATATTGAATTCGATTTTCAACCGATTACGAAAAACGGAGCGAACACTTTCTCGTTTATAGTAGTAGTATGTACTTGTATCTAGCTTTTTTAAATCACAATTAACCATACGGCCCACCAGATCTTAAAGGGTTACCGTAAAATCAGAAGTAAAATGCTGTGCAAAACTCCTAGATCACCAAAACCGCTTTTAGAAGGCTTACTAAAGTAAGCTAAGTAAGAAAAGTTAAAACTTTTCTTTACCATTTTGCAGTCACATAACTTTTGGATATATTAATGTTTTTGTCGAAGGAAAGCGGCACTGCAATATGCATTGTATTTTAAATGTGATGTAACAATTTATAGGGCAATGGTTTATTATGTAACTATCATTCGTGTGATAGGTATATATTATGGTCATGGATACAAGTTGAATACTATGTAACATCAAACATGGCCAGTAGTATGACGTAGCAGTTTTAACTGGTATTTTATAGGGCTGTCATAATCAGTAACTATTTATAAGCAGATTGCAATTTTAATTACTACTTTTTTTATTAATTACTAGTGCGGTGGTTATCTGGGTGCAAATATATCTATTTACACACTATAAACTTAAGTCTTTTTTTATAATAGGTTCACCTATCTAGATTATGGAATCTCGTTTATAATAACTAACGACTTGTCCCGTCTACGCACAATTCTTTCAATTTTTCGGCTTGTTCTATACTATAATACATGTATCATCATTATATAGTATAAAACAAAGTCGCTGTCGCTGTCTGTCCGTCCCTATGTATACTTAAATCTTTAAAACTACGCAACGTATTTTGAAGCAGTTTTTTTAATAGATAGAGTGATTCAAGAGGAAGGTTTATATATATAATACATGTATACCCGTGCGAAGCCGGGGTGAGTAGCTAGTTATATATATAAACCTTGAATCATTATATATATTGCTGAATGTAGAAAAATCCGTTTCGTAATGTAAAATATATAAGTGAGCTTAAAGCGGCCGGCGGCGACTGTTTTTACGTTTTATGTGAAGATGATTCAGTGCACTTTACAGTTTTAACGGTAAATGCTGGTGAACATATCACCATTTCTCAGATTAATTTTTGGTTTGATTTGTTTTTTTCATAGGAGACTCAGACTAAATTACTAATTGACACATTAAGTTTTTTTGTGTCGGCAACATTTTCAACCTACGACTATTTGAGTGCAAGTCGAAACATTGAACCATAGACCACTAGGGTCACCCACATTTATGCAGATACATCTCGTTTTTATTTTTATATTTAAATGTGCTGTCAATATATTACTTAGAGGTATTTATTATTTATTATTATTCATGTTGCTTTACACAATTAAATAATTCATACACATAACATGCACCTTTTAGGCACTGCAACGTGGAAGGAGGTACCTACTTACTTGTAAAAATACTTTGAATGCATGTTTTTACAGTTTTTGTTAAGTTAGGTTTAAGTAATATATTGTTACAGAGTTAAGTTACCTTTAAGTAATGTGTTGACGACAAATTTATTTACAAATATAAAATTTCTAGTACCCTATGTAGCCTATCGTATGTTTTCGTTTGCCTACATATATTATGTTATGTAAAACTCTCCTATGTTACGTAATTTACTTATAACAAACCTGTAAGTAACTTATTATAGTTTTTTTTACACTAACTTAATGTGTGATAATTACCCAAATTTCAATCATGTATTAGAAACGTACTTTGGTAAATCTCACTAAAATTGTTAAAAAGTGCACATCCACTCCAACATTATGTTAAGTTGGGCACCACCATATACTCCTATTTTTTTTTTTACAATTACATGAATTCTTCATTATTGCGCATTTTCATTAATTTGTATATAGTTAGTTAATTATGACACTGCAAACAAATGTATGTATATTAATCAATATTATGTTATCTGTGATACTAATATTGTAAATGCAAAAGTCTGTGTGTTTGTTACATTTTCACGACTAAACCGCTGAACAGAACTTGATTGAATTATATGTGAGGATAGATGATAATATGAAGGATGGGCATAGATTATCTTGTATATCATAAAATATTCTAGAATGGAGTGAAATAGGGGATAAAAGTTTGTGCCGACGAAGTCACAGGATGTTTCGGTAAAGTTGCTAATATTATCAATACAAATTTGTTTATACGTGTGTTAGCTTTATAACGACTAAAAGGCTAAACAGATTTTAATGTTTGACGTGAATATATAATATAGATTATATCGAGATGAGAAATATAGTCTATCTACTATCTCACAAAAAGAATACGAAGTACGGGTAATGACTACTAGGTATTTATTATTTCTAGCAACCGTAAGTATTACTAGATATTATTAGCATAATTGCAATATAATCTAATATAAATTACAACTATTAATATCTAATTGCGAAAAACAATGGTACATATTTTTATATTGTTTTACAAGTTATGACATCCGCGATTGGTAACCCTAGCTCCGAGTTGTATCTGTGGCTCAATGGCAGAATTGGCGGCAAAACCAGTAGATAACTAACCTTCGCGGTTTCAACACGTGCGTGATACAGATTATAAAATTATATCGTATCGATATTTTTTTCGATAAAATTTAAAAAAAGAACACGATCGCGGTCTACGGTAAGCGGAGTGATAAAATTGTGATTTATTGAGTGGTGTTTTTTTAAAGAATTAATTGTGTGTGTTTTTTTCTTTTTATATTTAGTTGGGATTGTTTATATTTTGATTTAGTGGTAGTAAAGTTGTTTACTTAATTTGTTAGTGGTAAGAATGAATAAACACGTATTTATTGAATTCTAATAATGCTGTCTCGGCAATGTAGGTATCTGTTTAATACAGTGCCTAACTTCGATGGTCGTAGGTTTGATGCTGTTCGAGTACAGTTGTTTATTCTGCGTAGATTTATATATGTATATAATTGCAATAAAATAAATATTTAAATATTTCTATAACTTATTTGGTACAAGTTTTGCTTAGTATGCAATAAGATGGCGCTGTGTTAATTGTGCTGGTCTATTATTAATTGTCATTCATATTTTATAGCTACATTATTTTATAGGTACAATTATAATAAATTACAAAAGAGGATATATAATCTTTTATAATAATTACGGACAATGAATAGTGGAAATGATGATGCATGTAGATATATGACACATGTACTTTTGTACTAATAATAGTATCGCCAGAGCCAGAAGAAGGAAAAAAAAGGTAGAGGAATAAATACAATACACATTCTTTGTACACATACACACATACACGCCTTCTGTATAACTTTTTATCATATTTTATTGTTCTTTGTTTGTCTGTGCGCAATAAAGAGTTATTATTATTATTAATATTATTCTTCTTCATACAAAAATAATAATAAACTTATTAAGCTACGTAATATTTAACTCGAGTAGATACTTTCGAGTACTTAAAAAATTATATGATTTTACATTTATTTTTTTAATTAAAATATAAAAGAAAGTTAAACACTACCTATATTATATTTTATTACCTGTAATAATTTTGTAATTATGTACTCGAGTTAAATATTAAGTAATTTAATAAGACTATTATAATTTTTGTATAATTCGATTTATTAAATGCTCTAATATAAATATAAAATGATTCATTTGTCATTTACAATTAACTAACTGATCCGATAGACATTGCGAATTTTCTATTTTTTTATTTTTCCTTCCGTAAGATCCTTCTAGATCGTTTTAGAAAAGAAATAAAAAATCGAATTACAATCGACTAAGCCATTTTAATTCCAAAACTGATTCTGAAGTAAAATGGCGTGGCCAGTAGGAATAAGTATTCTTTTTACATATCATATATATATATCTATAGATTTTACATAAAAATCATTTTTATCGTTATCAATTGGTCTCATAAATCATTACATAGTATAAAATAAAGTCACTGTCGCTGTCTGTCCATCCTTATGTATGCCTAAATCTTTAAAATTACGCAACAGATTTTGAAGCGTTTTTTTTATTATATAGAGTGATTCAAGAAGAAGTTT